GTATTCAGGAGCTGTCTACAAAAAGAAAAACAACACGGAACATCAGGCCTTGAGTTTGACATCTTAAATTCAGATTTTTCTGGCCCACGAGACCTTTCATCTAGACCAGGGTCAGGGGTGTCCAAACATTTTCATTGATGGGCCAGAACTGTCTAGATCACATATGTCAAACTCAAGGCCCGGGGGCCGAATGTGGCCCTTGTTGACATCTTATCTGGCCCCCAAGATGATATGTCAAACGTAAAATACTTTTTTCAGTTGAATTTTTTTCAGTAATCTTTAATTATGATGTCAAAAGTTGAACAGGGAACATCAAATAAGACCAATCAAAAATTTTTTGAGGAACCTGCAACCAAGAAAAGATGTTGGGTATCTAATTTGAGTTAATGTAGATTCTGTAACTGGCCCTTTGTTTGAAAGAAAAATAATTTTTGGACCCCTTTTGTGAGTGAGTTTGACACCCTAAACTGTAACCTCTCTTCAGCTCTGAAAGAAGACGGACATAAATTTTAAAGCCCAAAAATTGTCAAATACTTTTGATATTGGTGTACTGAAGTAGCCTCGTCAAAAACAACTAAAGAAATAAAGCAGTCCTTGCAACTCCAAAGAGTTGCAAACTTTCTTTTGACTGGATATTAAGCACTTTGATTATTGTTGATTCAGACGAGCAGTCTCACTTAAATAACAAATGCACACCTCAGCACAAACCATGCACCATTCCATTAGTCGCTACTCTAATAAAGCTTTGCAAAGTCTGACGCACGTCTAGATTCAATCAAAACGTAGCACTGATGTGCGTCTGTAACTTTAATCTTTGTGTTTTATTTGGCACAGACTTTTGGGAGACCGTCGTTTTATCTCAGACATGAAACGACAGTGGCGCTGTTGCTTCAGTATCCCAGCTGCAGACAATAACTTGAGCCAGTTCATGAAGCTTTATTGCTCTTTCATGCAACCAGTTTGTGTTTTTATCTCCACAATTACCAGATTGTCTTCATAAATTTAACTCATTAACTTCTTTATGCACAACCATTTCTCTTGTTTCATTACTTTCGCTGCTCCTACACTTTTCTCACACTTTCTCCATGCTCTCCTTTCATTTCATTAATGCATCCCCTCCTCCTCTTTCCATCGAGCTGTTTCTTTCAGCTTCAAAATAGGAAATAATCTCAGCTCATCCCAACCAACTTTTCTGAACTGTGGTTTATTCTTTAGTCTCCTCATTTAAACAAACAGCCGTTTACTGTTGATAGAGATTAATCAGCTGGAGGTGGGTGTGACGTCACTTTACAATATTAATTAAAAAGTTACAAAAAGAAATTTCCACAGCAGATAAAATGAATGGATCTGAGAAAGTGAGATGATAAGTAAATGAAAACAAAGGACAGAAAATAAAAGATAAAGAAGAAAGAAAAGTAACATATTTGACGAGTACTTTATAGAAAAAAAAGATTAAAAACTTGAGACAAAACAGCGAGGAAGAAAATGTACGAATGAAATGTAGAAAAAGTGAAATAATCAAAATTCTCTCTCAGAAAGAGAATATATGAAAGAAAGTCAACATTTCTCTCATTTCTTTTACTCCTTCCATCCAAACAAGAACTGAGGGCTATTGTTTCTGAGAGTAGATCCGTGTCCTATCTGAGGAATCCAAACAACAATATGGGTCAACACACTGCTGACAACATAGGAAGGAAAGAGGAAGCATGAAAAAGGACATCATTGGAAAGAAGGAAATACAGCTAGAAAGTAACCAGGACACTGAAAATAAAGCAGGAATGATGAATAAGCCTGGAAGGTACAAATTGGATGTAGGATAAAGAAAGATGTAAATATACTTCCTATAGTTATTGTTGAACTGACCAATATAAAGAGGAGTCTGATCAGAGGAACAGCATATTACATTCACAGATATTGAGAGTAAAATATTCTTTGTAATGCAGACAAAATACATTTTTTCAGCAACAATCTTAAAAATAAAATCAACACTATGGCAGTTTGTGCGAGTCTGGGGCCCAGATAAACACTAGTGAACTGGGCTACACAGTTAGGATACCATGTCTAAAAAAAAATCCCTCAAGTGTATTTGACCTTGCATATTTCAGTCCCAGTAGCTCCCAGTCTGTGAGTGAAGTTGGACAAGAGCAGCTACTCAAACACAAAGTAAACAGCCCCAAGTGTGGAATTAAAGAGACAACGTAAACCTTGTTCGTCATTTCCAAAACGGTTTCAAGAGAGAACAAGACTCTTCTGGTAAACAACTAGTGTTTTTCGCCCTATACGTCGCAGTTGTTTGCGTAATTTACATGACCTGCGACTTATACGCCGAAGCAACTTATTTATGGATTCTTTCCCATATTTATAAACCGATTTTTGACTGAGATATGACAGTTTTCATTCATTCTTACTGAAAATATTGAACACTACCATTTTTAGCCACTAGATGGCACTAGATTAGTATAGCCGTTGTATCATTTAATAGGTAAAAGTGGCTATTAATGACACAATCGGCTTGCCAATGCCTTCCACCTTCGTCTGCCTGGAGCAACTGTCAAATCAGCTTCATTTCACTGCACACCTTTGCTATAATTTTGAGCAAACAATTGTTTTTAAGTGTTAATCTTGTTAAAGTCCTCCCGTGCACGCTCCCGCAGTCGCCACTTGGCAGCCAACTGATATTTGGCACACCGGCTCACATTTCCAGGTTGTCAGCAGTGACGCGTAACAAACACGACACGTCGGCGGTGACGCATAATAGATGTGACGTATATGGCGAAGTGACGTATTTATGGATTTTTCCACTTTATTAGACATTTTGGACTGATGCGACGGAAAATACAGTACTTTCATGAAAGGAAATAAAGTTCACTAAGGTGAAGAGTGGGGTGAAAGGTTGGGCTACTGAGGTCTTCTTTCTTTTACAGAGTTCTAATCTGAAATCATTTCTATTAAAAGGTAAATATTAACTTTGACATGTGACCTTCTGAAGTAAACCAATTCTTGTTACTGAAAAGTCCTTTATCTACGGCTCGTATATATGTGGTCTTATAAGCACAATGTTTGGTTTCTTTCACAGCCTTTCACGTTTTTGACCATTTTTACCTGATTTAAAAATGTCTTATCTCTGTGATGCTTACCATCGCAGGTGAAAGTTACAGGCTGCTGAGATTCAGAGATTTCGATGGAGACTTTGACAGAGCAGCTGCTGTCACCTCCACCGTCCCTCTGGGTGATGACGGGGCTGAGCACGAAGCCAGGGTTGGTCGTAATGTCATCATGAGGAAACTTGGAACGCAGGCTGCAGGAGGGGAAAGAAGGGGACACAACAAGAAGAGAGTAAAAAAATAAATTTAAAAAATGACCAGTATAAAGAAATCATGGGAAGACAGCCAGGAATATCAGAGTCAGAGTCAGAGTCAGAGTCAGAGTTTCTTTATTGTCATTCGCACCTCTTGTGGTACATGTGGTGGAGCGAAATTATGTACACAGGGTCCCAGTTACATCCAACAATAAAATGTATAAGAAAAACAGTAATAACATCTAAGATATGAACTAAGAAAAACATCAACTAAATATACACTAAGCACTCATAACATAAAACATTGAACATCAGCACAAACATGAACATGAGTCTGTGAGCAGATGTGCATGCATGAACACATCAACATTGAAACAGATCAGCAGCAACATGAAACAGATCAGCAGCAACATGATATGGTTTTTCACAGTGATTATTCTAGTTAGAGATTCATGAGTCTAACAGCCTCAGGGTAGAAGCTGTTCCTCAGTCTAGTGGTTCTACACTTAATGCTCCTTAACCTCCTTCCTGAGGGGAGTGGGGCAAAAAGTGTGTGTGCTGGGTGGGTGGGGTCCTTCATGATGCAGGTGGCCCTCTTCCTGCATCTGGAGGTGTAGATGTCTGTGATGGTGGGGAGACTGACTCCAACAGATTTCTGTGCAGCCTTCACCACTCTCTGCAAAGCTTTTCTTTCTGCAGCTGTGCAGCCTCCATGCCACACATTGATGCTCGAGCACAGGATGCTCTCCACTGCACACCTGTAGAAGGAGGTGAGGACTGAGCTTCCCAGACCAGCTCGCCTCAGCCGTCTGAGGAAGTAGAGTCTCTGATGAGCTTTCTTGATCAGGCTGGTGGTGTTGCTCCAGCTGAGGTTGTCATTCATGTGTACACCCAAGTACTTGTAGCTGGAGACCACTTCCACCGCAGATCCTCTTATGTTCAGGGGGGTGTAGGTGTTTTTGTTCCTTCTGAAGTCCACAATCATCTCCTTTGTCTTCTTCACATTGATGTGAAGGTTATTCTCTCTGCACCAGCTCTCCAGGTGTTCCACCTCCTGCCTGTAGCTGGACTCATCATTGTTTGTGATGCATCCCACCACCGCTGTATCATCTGCAAACTTTACAATGTGACAGCCTGGATGGGTAGCTGCACAATCATATGTGAGCAGAGTAAACAGGAGGGGGCTCAACACACATCCCTGAGGGGAGCCAGTGCTGAGGGTTATGGTGGAGGAGGAGAGGTTGTGGATCCTCACTAACTGTGGTCTGTTTGTTAAAATATATAAACTAAATAAAGAAAAAACTAAAGGCTAAAACATGGTAAATTTAAAAAGACTAGATGGACTAGGATGTAAAAGAAGCAGAAAAACCTGAGTAGAAGTGATTTTTGCACGTTGCTTATGTTGAACAATAGAACGCAATGAAACTGTTTATCATTATTTTACAGAAGAAAGACAGAGTTCATCCCAACTGGAAGGGATGTGCAGATTTTGTTGGCCAATAAGAATGTGGGGAAGTCTGAGGATGACTTTATGTTCAAAGTTGAAGAGGATTTTCTTTTAGACATCATCACTCCACCCAAACTAAATACTGGTATGAGATATTTTGGACTGCCACAAGAGATGAACGCAGCAGTAAAACATGCAGTTAAGTATGTTTGCAGCCATTAAGCTATTCACAAAGAAAATAAGCAACATTTTCTAAAGCAAAAACTGATTTTTGTACTTTTTAACATTACTATTTACTTTAAAAAGCCTAAATTAAAAAGCCACATAAGCAGACTTTCTTTAAATAATTACCCTTTTCATCATTTCTCACTTAAAAAGCGACAGAAGTGTAAACAGGTTGCTTGACAAAAACAAAACTCAAAATGATTTAACTTTTGCATTTTAAATTAAACATTACACTGTATTTTTGATTGTAGGTTGCCACTTTTTAGGAGCTAAACATGCATACTATTCAGCTGATAGTTTGTATAAAATTAACCGGGCACAAAAGGGTTTGGGACCAATAATGTTTGACATGCAAAACAAAAACAACAACAAAAATACCTTGCTGTGTCTTCACAGAATGAAACAATCTCCAGGTTCTGAGCATCCAGCTCCTCCAGAGCAGCATTTTTCACCAAACCTTTTCCTTCTTCCTTCTCCTAAAGTACACAGAAAACAAACATGGCAACATGGTTACAAAACTAAAAGTACTAGGTATCTCTTAACTTAGTCCAGTTTTTAAAAATGTCCTGGAGAAGGCACATGGTCCAAAAATAGTGTTTATGTACAGGTTGTGAATTGACAGTAAATAAAAACAAACACTTCAAAGATCTTAGCAAATGATAAGACTGTTAAAGGCTTGTAATTTATGTTAAAGAACAAAGAAAGGGGCAATCTAATAACAAAAAAACCCCCCAGCTCTATCAATCCTACAGCAACATCAGTGTTTTGTCAATGTTTATTGTGACAAATCAACATTAAAAATGCATGTTCACGTGAATCCGCAGTAGTTTCCATGCCAGCGCTGGGTTGCCAGATAGGAAATGAAGGAATGAAGGAAATGAAGTCACTTTAAAATTATAGTATTGTGACCCAAACTATATGTGCAGAGTGTGGTGCACTTTCTTGGAGGGGGAAGGTTGAAAGATGAGGTGTGGGCTGTGCACAGAAATGGAAGGGGTCTGAAAAGGGTAATTACAGTATATCTGGTAACAGTAATGCTGGGCTTTAAAGAGACGCACGTGCAGTTGCAGCATGAAAACAAAGCAGTTGTCTCCAACATGGTGAACTCAGAAACCTGTGTTTTGACCAAGGATGAGGTTGGGCTGCTCCTGCACGCTGAAAAGTGTGAACAGCACAAACAGAACTTGGATATCAGCCGTTGGTGACTGTTGATCTGAAACCACTGACGGCGCCACCAGGGTGGGGGTGGGGGGTGTTGAATGAATGGCTGAACCGCAGCAGATGGGCTTCAGTGACAGAATCTTAGTTTAACATTTAATTGTTTGGGTTTTATTTGACCAACGGTTTAATTTAAACAGTAGATCTCAATCCTTTAACTTTAGTTAGCTTCATTATATGCAGCTTCAAAATAAATGGAAGAAATATTTTTGTTACATCCATTTTTATGAAAACATAAAAATGTTGGGAACTGAGTTTAAAGCGCTGTAACTCAAATTATTTCTTGTCACCATTTCTTTTATGAATACAGCTCCTTTGGGACTGACTGGCCCGATGCCGGGCATCTCGCCTCTGCTCTTTAACAGCTGTGTGAGTGCCAGCTGCTGAGGAATGTGCTTCCTGTGGCACAGGAAATAAGAAGTGAAATGGCCCCGCCTCTTCCTGCATTAGGCCATCTGCTAAAATGCTCAGTCATTGCTTGAAAATCTGTGCCTGACATCATTCTCAACAGGGGGTGGGGGGCGGTGTACAGGAATAGAAGAAAAGGGTTGAACAAAGATGCTTGGCATGTCAAAATAATAGTTTATTCCTTGTTTAGAACCACAAAGATGACTTTAGGATCAAAGACAGCCTGAAACGTTTCATCCAGAAAAACTTCTTGAAGCTTGACAAGAAGATGCATGTTGAGAGTCAGGTTGTCTTCACTACTTTAACTAACGGTGCTTTGCCACAGTCTCAACTCTCGTCGGTTCTAAACAAAAGCGCTACAGTTAATGGTCTACCCACTGCTGGCACCCACCCCCACTCAGTCCGGTTTATGGGACCAACTTTGTTTGAGTTTCCAAGCAGACTGCTCCGAGGTGATGATTCTGACGCAAGCAGGCAGCAGCGGATTGGCCAGCGGAGCTACGTCACCGGATGACCTGCCCGGCAAAACTGCAACCTACGTCTGAACCGCCACTTCCTCATCGTGTTGATGGACGGCTCCACAAGAAATGAACCCATTTACAGAGAGATATCAGAGATGATGGCACAACGAGGCTACACACGAACTTATAAGCAGTGCTGAGATAAGCCAAAGAAGTTGAAGTTCAACTATAGGGCAATTAAGGACCGCAACGGGCGGAGTGGCTCGAACACAATGGCTTGTTACAAGACCGCCCAATTTGCATTGGTGATCCCGCCCACAGAGCGGAGAAGCAAGTCAAAGTGGCAAATCACCTACACCTGAGAAGAACTGATAAATAGTCGCACTTACTAATGGCAAAGCAGATTTAGTGGAGAGTTTTGAGAACCCCAATGATTGCGGTTATGTCGTCTGGAGCAGCAGCACTTACTGGGTCTCTCATGGCAAACTGGCCTCTGGGAAGGAGTCAGGCTGAGAATGATTTTAAGTTTTTGATCAATAACAGGTCACCTCATCTGAAAAAGGGAAACATGGGTGCATTCCTGGAGCTAGGCCTGAAGAGGAGGCTCCCCGATGAGCCTTGTTGCTTGGCCAAGCCTTAGCCAGCTATCTGTGGGTAAACCACTTGAGGATAGAGAAGTCAACATCACGTGCAGTGTAAGTCAGGTGGCCAGGTGAGAGCGGGACACTGGCATCAAAAACTGGCTTTGTGGTCATAGAATCTAGATGTTTGTAAAAAAACAAGATTCTGAATAAAAGTGGTTGAAATTATATTCCTCCGTTAAGTAGCTGGGCTCGGACTTATAAGATGAGCTTCATCACTTGAAGGGAGCTTGGAGTAGAGCTGCTGCTCCTCTGCATCATTTTTTATACGACTGTCTCTATTGTTGTCCGTACCTCATCTGTGTTTTGTGTTTAAAACAGGTCTCTCTTGTAAACGAGTCCTCGAGGCTCAAGCTGACTTTAAGAAAATGCCATTATAATTGAAGTAATTCTGTCTTAATTCCACTAAAAATAAGACATTTTTTTCCAGTCGCTGAATGGAATCTTTATTATCAAGATTGGAATAAATATTCATAATAATACGAACAGAGAATAAGGCGACAAAGATTGACAAAGACAATAAGGTAGGAATAGCAGAGTGAAAAAAAATATAAAGGATCAACGGAAACAGAAGTTGGAAAAAGAAATACGAAAGGAAACTCGACTGGGGAAAAAAGCAGCAAGTAAAAAGAGCATCAACAATTTGTTTGGAATCTGGGAGGCTTTGGCGTTCAACTAATTGTCACGTGCACACAGCAACCATGACGAGCTCGTTTGTGTTTCGCACACACGGCTGCAGAGTGAGAAACGTGAGCGTTTGAAGTCATGGGAACGGCTTCATTAGATTCACATGTTGACTACCCCCCCTCCCCCATTTCACTGCTCGTCCTGTGAAGTTTCACAACACTGACTGTAATTCCAGGAACACACTGTGCAACATAAAGGAAGACTAGACAACAGCTCATTCTGAGCAACTTCAGTGGACAGGAAGCCTTTTGTAACCTCTGATTTGCACCAGTTCTACTAAACAGGCTCAGGTTTAATCAGCTGAACTGGAATCTCGGGGTCAGGTCTGGCTGGGGTCAATTTCTTTATGCATTCTGTGAATACGCATGCAATAAGTAAATCCTGTCTATAACTGGACAGAAAAAAACAATGCAAATTGAATTTTATGAGTTACAGAAAACAATCATTTGCCTTTTACTTTTAAAAGTCTCAAAAACATTACTAAAGGCACTTCAAAGACATGCATCAGGAACATGCTCATTTCTGAAAGTCTATTTGATTCTGAACTGCAGAGATTAATAATAGAAAAGAGTATGTAAAAAAAAAAAAAAACATTTAAATGGTTTGAAGTTAAATGAAGCTACGAGAAAAATAACTATAAAGCCAGATACTACACTGACCTTCCATCATTCCTAATGTTGACGAGCATATTTGATCTGGTGAAGTCATTCATACCTAAACCTAAAGTAAATAGTGATTTAGGTCAATTTGAACCCTTTGTGATGGCCCTAATGCATCTTAAGCTAAACCTTCCTGTGCATGATTTGGCTTTTCGATTGCAAACTTCTGCCTCAACCGTCTCCAGGACATTTCTGATGGTTTTACATGTTTTATATACACGTCTAATGAAGCTGCTGTACTGGCCCTAACGAACTGAGCAAAACCGTGCCGCTGGAATTCCAAAAACATTCGACAAAAAACAGCTGTTGTAAGTGACTGCTTTAAAGTGTTTACTCAAAGGCCTAAAGACTTGTTGGCACGTGCACAGACACGGTCAAATTATAAGCTCGGACTTATAGTGAAGTTTTTAATAGGTATCACCCCGCAAGGTTCAGTGTCTTTTCTGTCCAAAGCATGGGGTGGCAGTGCAAGTGACAAGTGCATAACTTAAAACTGTGGTTTGCTATTGAAACTACTTCCAGGTGACCTCATACTAGCTGATTGTGGTTTTTCAACATACAGGACTGTCTAGAAACATACTGTGCAGAGGTAAACATTCATGGATATCTGCAGTCGACATGGAAACCACAAGTTAAACCAACAGGTCGACCTCGGGGAAAAAAACCTGTCTTGTCGAAGCTTCAAAATTCACGGTTGAAACCCGTGCCTTGATGTAAAAAGTTGTTTTTCTCTGCAAAAAGAAGCTGAGAACTTGTTCACTGATTTTTATTAAACGCTTTGTGTGAAAAATGCTATGCCAAAGAGCTCAAACCACACCGAGCATCCGCCATTTTAAGAACCAAACAGAGACAGCCCATGTCATGTCAAGGGGCCTCCCTCCCATTTTTCTTAAAGAGACACGCTGCTCGCGCCCTCACTATCCATCCTTCGGTTCAAACAGTCTTATACTGCCATCCAGTGGTTGGAAAAAAGGTACATGCAAAAAAAAAAAAATTAGCAAACATTTCTTCTTAAATTTAACAATAATTACTAATTATTGTTAAATTTCAAACAATATCGTTTATCGCAATAATTTCTGAGACAATTAATCGCCCAGAAAAATTTGTTATCATGACAGGCCTACTTGTGAGAAACAAAAAAAAAAAAAACTATGCTTCAAGCACGTCAGCCAGAAGACTACCTAATCAAAAATGTTTACGGCTTGCCAATAGTTGACTAAATTGTGCCAGTCGCATGTGCACTCATCAACTCGTGTGACTCTGTAGTCTCACTAACTTGAGCATAAAGAGGGAATTGACACTACTGAGCGACTACTGTGTAATGTTTGCATTATTGTAAATTGTTATGGCATAAGATTGTGAATGAATACAAGTCACACCTCTGGAAGACCAGAGTACCAAA